CTCCGAGGTCGAGTCATGCCCCTATATCAAAGTTCACGGTAAAACATTGTCAACACGAATACGAAAATCTCCATGAATCTCCATAATCGATTGCATATTAGTTAAACACTTCGTAAACATAACTCACATCTGTAGCATCGTATTCCTCTTGTTCCTCCTCCTCATCGATTTCCGAGTTTGGTTCATACTCCTGTATCAAAGTTTACAACGAAATATTGTTAACACGAATACAAAACTCTCCATAATCTTGCATATTTAAATACTCGTTAAATCGCCAGTATTGTTTTTCTCTTTTTCCTCATCATCATCACTATCGGAGATTGATTCATCGTCCTATATCAGAGTTTAGAATAAAATATTTTCAACGTGAATACGAAGTCACGATAATTGACTACGTAACTAAATTCTTGGTAAAAACAATTAACCTCGCTAGAGTTGTCTTGGTCTTCATCATTCGGGTAAAATATCAAGCTTGGTTCGTCACCACCCTTCAGCCTATAAAATATGCCATAAAGCCATTTAAGCAAGTTGGCATATTATTTTTATCAAATAAACACAACAATTAGAATATCTAATAATAAATTATTTAATAATAAGTTATATTAAAAAAATGCATACAGTTGAAATTAGTTAGATCCAATTTTCAATTTAATTTATATGTGTTCCATTTTATTCTAGTATCTTGATATATTTTATTGTCACGATAGAAGACAATTTGTAAAACCGAGTAGAAATTCAGAACACAAGGATAATTGACATTTTGCATCCATCAATTAGCTTAGGTGTGTTTGCAAAAATATAATTTTTAACACTTTGCAAAAATATAATTTTTAAGACAGTAGCACACTAATTTATCAAACCCTTAATATTAATTTTTAGTTGCATGAGATAATTTTTTTTTTAACAGAAATGGTGCCAATTATAACAAAAAAAAAAATAATTAAAAAAAAATATTGTGAATTTATAAAATTTTAAAACTCATGTTGAAGATGAATAGAGAGATCCTTAACTAACCTCTTCATCATCATCGGCTCCATCACCGGGCTCATTGCCACTACCTCCAACTTGTTTTGAGGCCCGGCACAAACAAATCATCTTGTCACCGACCGAACAGACGAGCAACTCGTGGCCTGTCCAATCCGGAGGGTTGACGGTAAGAAA